CCCGCTGAGCCCGTCGACCCCGTCGAGCCCGCTGAGCCCGCTGAGCCCGCCGAGCTGGTCGAGCCCGTCGAGCCCGCTGAGCCTGCTAAGTCCGCTGAGCCAGCTGAGCCCGCTGAGCTTAAGTTTCACAAACATGAGATTCAAGCGTGCACAGTAAAATACAGCCCGCTATATCGTTCAAGGCACCCCCCCCAAAGGGACACGACATCACCAGGGGATTTTAAAGGTGTTCTCACATTCGTCGTTGTCATCGCTTTCGTTCCCGCCTCTCTCAAGTACTTTGAGGAGTTGCATCCCTTGGACTCTTGTTATGCAGAGCGAAGCGCACATCGCACGCACCGCGTCGCAGGCCACCCCCAAAGCTTGCTCCGCCGTGAACCCCAAAGAGCCCGTGCCTGATGCGGAACGTGGAATTTGCCGTGCCTGCATCATCTATGGGTGCAAGACTTGCACTACTGAAGGCGCACTGCAGTGAATAGATTCTTGGTAGATGCAGCTCAATGTCTTTTTGCAGGATGGAATCCCAAACACATGAACATTTTATATACTACAAGCAATACTTGTTGCTTGGTGTTGCTTGTTCCGTGGGACAGGCCAAGACACCTGTGCCGAGTGCACCTCCGGCTACCGGCTCACGGCCGATGGGAAATGCGAGAATGCCAACATGATGTACTGGTATCTTGGAGTGTATTTGTTCCCCAAACAGTGTGGTAACACTAGGGGTTCTTACGGTAATGGTTGAGGATGGGTGTCTGATCGAGGTGCTCATCGGCGTGTCCGGCTAATTCGCTGCTATTTCATTTCGACTGCGCAGGCTAGCAGAATCTGGTGGGCTGGCGCGGGTGCTCTTCGAGACTGCGCTCTCGTTGTGGTGCAGGGGCATTTTCGGGCGATCACTTTTCGTAGCAGGCGCAAGGGAAACATCGTGTTTTGGCGGTCTAAAGTCGGCTTGCCGTGGCAGGTGCAGAGAGGAGCGGCTTTATGTCGATGTACAGATTTCGTGGCAGGCGCAGTTTGAACATGGTGGTGGTCTTCGGCGTGCTTTGGGTTGATTCAAGGTGCAGTGAACTTTGACTGTTGGACATGTGGCTCGTTTTCAAAGATCGGAGGAAGTTTCGAGCGAATGCTGCGTTTTGGCATCTGTATCTTGTCATTGGACGTGCTCTTACTGCGAATCGCATCGGCAGGGCTGCGCGATGTGAATCTTGATGTGCAGGCCTTGTGGCAGGCGCAGCACTTTGGACCTTGAGGTGCAGATTTCGTGGCAAAAGTACTTTGTGGACTTTGGGGTGCAGTGCTTTGTGGTGCTCTCATACGTCCTCCTCCACCTCTAGGACCTAGACAAGCCTGCGGTCTGTGAACCTCCATCACCACCACCGTCACAACCATCATCACCATCATCATCACCACCATCACCCCCATCATCACCAACTTCATCGCCACCAGCATCACCACCATCACCGCGGTCTCCACCTTCATCACCACCAAACCCAATGCTTCTAGATCTCTAGACCTTCTGCCTCTACACCTCTAGACTTTAGACCTTTAGACACACTGTTTGGCCAGGATAATGTAGCCAAAACATGACTTGTGCTGCACTTTGGCTTTCAAATTTTTGGTTGGTTCTGTCGAGGATGGATAGGACTGTATCCTCAGTAAGAAGTGCTGCTGTGACTGCCGTGCCCTGCTGCCGAATCTGACTGTGGGCTGGTTCTCAGAAAACATTCGTCACTGCCGGCTGTCAATGTCCATGGGCAGTGTGGGGTTGGAGACATATCCAATCAGAATAGATTGTCTTTGTGTTATTGCAGCTTTTGTGTTGAGCTTCGAGACCCTCTTCGGCTGATAGTTTGGCTTGCTGACTTTTGCTGGCTGACCCCTGCTTGTGAACAGCGACCTGGAGTAGAATGTGACTGATGTGAGTTTCATAGAGTTTCAAAGTGGGTGAGGAGCAAAGACCTGAGAAATCGAGATGAACTGACCAAGGTATGCTCTCTTCGTGGTCTTGGGACTGATCACAGCCTTCATCGTGGCCTGGATCGTGGACATTGCCTGCCGTCCCTGTGTCAATGTGCAGGGATTGAAGGGAGCGCTCAATGCTCGATCCCGCTCCAAGGCGGGCACGAAAACATTTATGCAAATGGAATCAAATGTGGACTTAGACCTCGCT